CCCTCCCTCCCTTCCCTTTCCTATTCTCTCCTCAACAATTTCATTTTTTTCTTTCGGTTAACATTTTCTAGCGAGATTCCGCTGACGAAGCTTAAGACTAACAACTTATTGCTTCCTTTAAAAATTTTCTTGGACCAACTTTTATTCCTTCCTTAGCAATTTTCCCTTTTTAAAACTGTCGTCTTATTCAATAAAATTTCTATTTCTTCTCGAGAAAATATTCCTTTTTTTAAATATTAATTACTTTCCTCATTCATATTTTATTTTCAATTTTCGGATTTTGTAATTTATTTTCTTCCAAAAAAAAAAAAAAAAAAAAGAAATTAATACAGAAAAAATTTTTCTCTTTTTTTTTGTTTAATTTACTCTAATCATCTGTTAAATTTTTTAATTGAATATTAATTTAAAACAAACTTTCTTTTCTTTTTTTTTATTAACCAACTGCTCCTCTCAAAATTAACACTTTTTTCTAAACTTTTAAATATTTAAAAACAAAAATAATAATAATAATAATAATAAAATCACGACGAAAAAAAAAGAAAAAAAACTCCATTTGTTTTTATATTAAAAATCCGCCTAATTTTTTTTAATTATGCAATTTTACTATCTTAAAAGAGTATAAATTTGCAGTGCGAGTAAATAAGAGGAGGTTTTCGCAAAAAAAAAATACAAATATCAATTAAAAATATTCGTTAATCGTTAAAATTTATAATTTTATTAACTTTTTTTTTTTTAACTCGAAGACAAAATTTCTTAACAAAATTATAAATAGATTTACTCGTTACTAAAATCGATAGAAGAAAAAGTAATGGACACTTGACCGTTGGTTAAAAAGGGTTTGATGAAGTATTTATGACTTTTTCATTTCCTTTAGTTAAATGTGTAAAATTTATTATAAAAAACTTTTTCATTACCACGTTTTTTTTGTTGTGTGTTTTCTTCTGTTACATGTGTCAAATTTAAATTACGTTAAAAAAAAACAATTTAATTTACATAATTTAAAAAAAAAATTTGCAATTAAATTACACGACTCGAAAATTTTTTTTTTTTTTTTTTTATTTCACTTTTTTTTTTTAATCATCGAAAACAAAAATAAATAATGGTCGTCGGTTAGTTTTTTTTTTATAATTAAAAAAAAACATTTTTTTTGTTTAACCTCGTAAAATATAAAATAATTAAAATGGTTTCCCCCTCCATATAAAAAAAAAATAAACATGTATTATATAAGAATGTTATAATTATTATAAAATGATAAAAAAGAAAAAAGGAGAGGGGAGGGGAGGGGAGGGAAAACTTTAAAAAAAACTTTTTATTATATTTTATTTTACAAAAATAAATAAATAAATAAATAAAATAATAATAAATTTCAATTATTTAAAATAATTAAAAAGTTTTTTTTTTTTTTTTTTTTTTTTTATTATAATTAAAAAAAAAAATTTTACGTATTATTATTATTATTATTATTATTATTATTATTATTATTATTATTATTATTATTATTATAAAAAGTTTTTATCGGTCCTTTGAACCGGTCGGTCGGTTTTTTATACCTTAAGGCCACATACACGTTGCCACTAACAACAAACATGGATGCCATCATCCTCCTCATTAGGTTTTATAAAAAAACAATTTACTTCTTCCCACCACCACCATTCATTAAAAACATCATCATCATCATTATTCGAGTTATTATTATTATTATTAATAATAAAATGTTTTGTATATGAGTTTTTCACATTTTGTGGTGTCGACTTTTTTTTTTCGGATCCGAAATAAAAAAAAAAAAAAAAAAGTCAATTAAGGTGTTTGTTGTTGGGTAATCATTTTTAAATACGAGTGAATCATTTAATGGTTTTTAATGCGGGGGAGGGAGGCGGGGGAGAGGAGGGGGAGGGAAGGAGGATATTAAGAAAAAAATAAATAAATATTAAATGTGGTTTTTAATTACGTAACGGTATTAAAATATATTGATTTAATTAAAATACAATTTCGTAAAAATATAAATTAAATTTAAATTGCAATACAATGATGAAAAGAACAATTGGGAAAAAAAATAAAGTACATAAAAATTTAAATAAATAATTAAACGTTACGACATACGTCATCGATTTATATTTTAACAAAAAAAAGGAAAACTATTCTTCTTACACGTTCAACCATGTAATTTCAATAAATTTTATTATTATCAAAAAAACAAAAAAAAGGTTAAATCAATTTATTTTTATTTGCCTTACAAATCATCATTTTTTTTTTTTTTTTAGGATTTACTCATTGTAATAGAAAATTGTTTTTTTTTTTTTTTGATTCGTCATTCAACTCTATAAAATTCAATTACCTCAATTCAAATTTCATCGAATTGAAATAAAAAGATTTAAAATTTGATAGTTTTTTCTATAGTAATCTAGAAAAAAAAAAAAAAAAATTTTTTTTAATGTAATGTGTGGGTGACAGATTTTAGAAAACATTAGACAGCCAATATTGCAAAAAAACATTAAAACATTAATCGAATCAAAATATGAATGAATTTTTTTACGAATGAATGAATGAATGAATGAATTTTTTTTTTTGTTATATCACAAACAGAAGAAATATTTTTTTTTTTTTTTTTTTAAATTAATTTAAATTTTTTTTTCATTCGTAAAAAAAAAAAAAAAGTTTTTTTATATTTTCTTTTAATAAATTCCATAATACCAATAAGAAACAACAATATACGTATGCTCATTTCCCCTTTCCCCCTTCCCCTCTTTTCTCCCCTCTCCCTTTCTTCATTTTGAAAATCCCTAAAGGTTATTTTGTAGAGTTTACTAATAAAAAAAATAAAAAAATTTTTTTTTTTTTAATAGAATGTAAAAGAAAAAACAAAACCTCAGGTTGTGACTTTTAAAAC